ACAGACCAACAAAATATACTTGAAATTCAGTATCAATTAATTACATTATTCTATAAGAATGTGTTTAGAATATATTCCAAAATTACAGGGGGAAAATGGTAGTTAACTCAAAGAATACTTACATGAACACTTTACTATGGGATGGGTACTGTGCAATTTAATTACTGAATCTGCTTCTCAAGGCACATGTGTCCAAAATACATAGACTTTATGCTTTGAAAAGTACACACACAATGGCCATGACATATTTTATGTGCTAAGTGTATTATAGTAATTAATTTCTGCAGTAAAGTTTAGAACACTAAAGTATGATAAATAAGCTACATAAAAGGGGCTGAAGTAGACCTCAATGGCCAAGTGCTTGCCTTGCAATACATTAAAGACCTGGGATTCGATTCCCCAGGATACCTCTGCCCAATAAATTCTATGTAATAGCTTAACCTCCGTTCATTCAAGTGTTTCTGGACCCATATTACCATAATTTCCATCTTAAAATTTTAGAAAAACAAGTTGAAGAGACAGCAGCCAGTGTCACAGTTAACAGCAAAGCTATCTCGGACAGTCCTGACTCTTGCAACTACTGGGCTATTGCTTAAGACCAATAGTATGAAAGCCAAGAGGGAAAACCTGAGCTTTTCTTAATGGTTAACAGTGAGCAGCCATCATTTTCAACACTTTAGTGTGCCTTTTTAAGATGGAATTCTATCACCTAAGTTTGTCAAGTGGGAATACTTTAACCCCAGAAGGAAAAGAATTTACTTATGATCACACAATTACAATCTGAATCTGTTTTGTTTCCCGTTCTACGGACAAATACCAACAACCAAAAGAAAGCTTTTAAAAATCCAAGTGGAAATTTTAGGAAAAGCCCTACTACTTACGAAATTTAATTTCTGCACCTCTACAAAACTCACCTTATGGGGATGCTTGACATGAACACAAAACCCCAACTCCTTCAGCACCCGTCTTTCTGCCTTGATAACTTGATTTTTGGTGTTAATGTAGTTCTGATCAAGAATCAGGGGGCTTGGAGTCCTATAGTTTGTAAGAAATAAAATCAAAACTGTTTTGCACATCCAAAAATTTTATTTGTGGCATCTCCATTTTCCCTTCCAACCAACTATTGGCAACAGAAACCAGCTTTTTAAACTCCTGCTAACAAGTTAAAGCATTAATCTTATGCTGTCCAAGTTATACTAATTTTACACAACTAAACTTAAAAAAAAATTAATAATCAAAACCACACCACTAAAATGCTCTTAAATGTTTACTTTCAGTGCTTTTCTCCTCTCTGATTTATGCACGTCACTTCAAGGAAAACACCAATTACTGTCACAAACCTCATCAGCCTCCAGAGACTTTCCAACGACAAACCAACTCTGCTCCTGAAAAGAATTACATTTTATTTACAGTATTATAAAGTCCTATAACAAATGGAAGATTTTTTAAAAACTCATTTACTAGCAACCTTTGGCTAAATTTATGGTCAAATAAGCGCTAAGGAAAAAAGGCAGTTCAGATCTTTGTGACAATGTATTCTAAAAACATTTATCTACTTAATTAAAAAAAAAAGAAAACTTCAATTGCCAAAGGAAATAAACCTTAAAAAAAAAAAATTTAAAATTGAAGTGATTTAGGCCCTAATCTGATCAGTTACAGTCAAGGATAGTATGACATGTAAAGAAAGTACAAGGCCATAGTAAGAGAACCTGAAGATTACTCAACACTGCAGAAAAGCATTGCCCCTCAGAGCTGGTTTTCATATGGTGGGGCCCTTACCATTCATAAAAGGCTATCTGTCCCCCCACTTGAGATAAGGTCTTGCCTATGTAGCCCAGTCTGAAGATCCTCCTGTTTCACCCATAGAAATGCTGGGATCACCAATCAGGGGCATGTACAACTACACACTGATTCAGTTAAGAAATGTTGAATATGACCTTTAACAGTCTATGAAATCATTATTTTTTACTCATGCTTAGGTCAAACCAGCAAGTAGTACATTTGCGTTACAGAATATACAGTAAGCATATGTGTAGAACATTTAAATACAGCACCTAAATACATAACCCAATACATAACCTAACCCAGAAAAATACAATTTCACATTTTAAAAACAAAAACCTACTTAAATACTATCCACTTGAAGGTTATAAACAAGCTATGAGAGCCAATCTGGGGTCATATTAGACTGTTTCAAAAAAACTGAAAGGAGCTACATTAACTGCCCCCTATATAGCATGGTATTAAGAGTTAAAAACCAGCCACTGTATTACTTTATTTTCATTTAAAAAAAACTCAGAATGCTTACTGTCATTCTGTACCTATTAACTACATGAACAGTTGGCAGAGGTGAGAACAAGAACAGTAGTTAACAAAGTATTTGTTAATGCTAAAAAATGGCCTAAGGTCAACTTTTACAGCTACGAAAGGTATAGGGAATGAAGCTGTAAACTGGGAGAAGGGACTATTTCCAACAGTAGTTAAGAATCCATTTTATCAGTACAAAAGACTACAAATTGCTCTTTAGGAAAAAAACTTAACTAGGTCCAACTAATTATTTATGAAAACATATTCTAAGGACCCTAAGGGTTTATGGTTTTTCAGGTTTTATACCCACTACAAGAAATTTTGAAGGAAAACCCACTAGAGACTAATTAGAAGGTTCTCTTCTAACTGATATTAAGGAGATAAAGTAGCCCCAGTGTTTTTTCTGCACACTGCTTAGCTCTTATTCTGTGTAATCCAGATAGTGAACAGAACCATTAAAATCCCTATAAATATTTCACACAAAAGTTCTGTCTCATTTTTTTTCATCTGTTAAAACTTACAAATCTTACTAAGAAAATAAGAGTTATTTTCAAAAGAAGATAAAATTAATTTTTTTTACAATCAAGCAGTTAGCTACTTGTTTGAAATGTGACTTGAGCCAAACAGGGCTTCGTCACTAATTTTAAAGTATCTTCTGTTTACTACCCTGTCCTAAATCATGTTTTGCAATCATGTTGTCATAAAGTCAGAATCCCACAGAGTCATGTGTAAAAAGGCACAAGTCTTGTAACCCGAGCTCACATAGGTGAGCAAGAGGTTACAGGCCACCCTGGGCTACCATAGTTGAGACCTCATCTCAAAACTCCCAAACTTTCAACTTCATTACAACAGACTAAGGAAAACACTCTCTATTATGTTATTACAATTCAACCAAGTTCTTGCTTAGCCCTGCTACTGAGTCAGCTTTGAGAATACATGATCTCCCATGCCTTAATTTTATTTATTGGTTTTATTTCACAATCAAGGCAGACTCAACAAATACAAAATTTACAATTACCTTATAGAAATACTTCATAACAGAAAAATGTCTACATAAATTAGTAAAAAAAGGTTCTGAAAAAGGATTTAAGCCAAGAGCTTTCTTTACTATAACAAAATGATCAATTAGAAAAACTTTAGCAACACTTTAAGGCTTGCTAGAATTTTCTCCCAGTAGGTAAACATTCTTTGCCAACACAAAGTTGAAGAGGTGGCATTTAATAATCTCTTGAGAGAAATCCTCCTCTATTCACAGAAACTCAGGAATATCACTCAAAAACTACCACTCAATGGGCTTGGTAGCAAATGCCTTTAACCCCAGCATTGGGAAGGCAGAGAACAGACCTCTGTGAGTTTGATGCAAGCCTAGTTGATCTACATTAATAGTTTTAGGTCACTTAGGGTCGTGTAGTAAGTCTGTTTTCCCCTAAACCCCAAACAAACCAATAACCAAAAAACAAAACAAACCAACCTCAATCTAAACCCCAAACAAACCAACCCAACAAAAGACCTACCAAACTCCACCTCCTCTATGTGAGGTATCTACTGTCAGATTTTTCTCATTAACTTACTTGAAAACAATTTTCAAATTTTAGGAAGTCTTTTGGTCTCTGGTAATTTTAAGTTTATATGGTAATTACTTTAAAATGATTAAAATATAGCACAAGCACAAAAATTTAGAATTAGGGGGTTCAAACATGGTCTCACTCATGTATTTAAGGACTGAGACTTTGAGACTAGTTCCAGGGACTGCAGTAAACCGCAAGGGGTAATACACATGGAGGCAAGATTGTTACTCAATATACAGAAATTTGTAATTCCCTTTTGAAGAAAATAGATTTACTGAAGGCTACCTGCAGAGCCACAAAAACTGCAGATGGTTGTTAAAGAAATGACAATGATTCTTTTAATTCTTTACATATTAATTCAATCTTTCAAAGTAGCTTCTTGGAAGACAAATCTTAAGTATGAACACAGACTCCTTAAAACTTAAAAAAGAAAAAAAAAAAGAGACCTTTAACATACTGGAAATATGCTACACATGAACAGCAAACTGTATTTGTAAACCACTGAAATGTCTTTCCTGTAAATTCAGCTACTTACTCTAAATTTTAAAGAATTACCAAACTACAATAAACTGAGGGTGACAGGCCAATTATCCCAAAATGAGAACTAGACTGGCACTTTTGTGCTTTCTTTAAAGGTCTTCTGATTATTTTATTCATGTGTAGCCAAAAAACCCCAATAGTTTAAATAAAGGCTACATGAATATGCCCCCTTTGTCAAAGCCATACAAAAATCAAGTTATTGCACAAATTCTCACCAAGGCAAACTGATCAACTTAACCGTATCAAAATATAGTATGGATAGTATTTTCTAACAACCGCCTATGGAAAAACCAAAACCAAAACACCATTAAACTATAGTTTTAATTAATAACTTGGACAGCAAAGATAAAAGCTTATAACAAGAAACAGGAGTTTTTTTCTAAATGGTTCACCAGTGGCCAACCTGTTAGTCCCCGATTCCAGTGACCTATTCTCAGAGCACTGGCTTCTCCTTGGGGATTTTCGATACTTCACTCACTGTTGCCATGACGACAGCTTCATCTCTATGTACCACTCCACATCACCCAGGCTTTGGTAAATGTAGCTGGTCGCTGTATAGTCGGTTGCAAGGGAAAAAAGAGTTGAAGTTAATAACATATACAAGTTACATGTCTGAGTAAACTTGTAATATGCATAGAAACACTTTTATATCCTGCTTTTAAAAGGGGGGGCTTCCATGCAATTAACTTCTCTTATAAAAAATGTCATGCTATAATCAAGTTTCTAAGATTGAAACAAAATAAATTTCTCTTTAATGATGACCAAAAATGCAGTTACATCCAACACAAGTCAGTCAGATGGCATTATTTTAAATTTCAAGGTTTTATAGTTAAGAAGATCCTACTCTGACATCAAGGAAGAAAAGTTAAGTCCCACAGGAAAACTCAAAAGATAATCATGTGATTATATAGATGGCTCACAATGACCCCTATACTACCAGAAAATTTCCTTTTTTAAGCAGAGTCCTTTGACTAAAGATGAAGAGCTTTGTACTGTAGCGCTTCTTTTTAAAAAACATCCTGAAGAAATCAGCTACATATCTAAATACAAATATAAGCTCAGACCAAACTAAATGCCAATTTGAAATCTCCCCATTTCCTATTCTTCATAAGGAACTAAAAATGTTTTAAAACTTTAAAAAAGTACTCTTGGACACAGGCTGAGAAAAGAAGGGTTCAAAAACTTACAGACAAAAAAAATCTGGGCAACAAGTTTTGACTATGCCACACACTTAAGTCACTTTAATATTTGCTTATCTGGATTGGATGGCTCCACTACCACCAACTTACAGACTCTACCAGTAAGGACTACTTATATAAGATACTGACTTGGCTAAGCAATACCCAAGTCCCCAAAGCAACTTTGTTATCTTTTCACAGCTGACTTCCTTTCAAACTCATCACAATTCCCTGGAAGTGAACACCAAAGCTAATCTACACCATGACTATCCATCAGCACGTACTAGAAGTCACTGGCAGAAACTCCAAGTCCCGAAACAAACTTTGGTACTGTCTTAGATGAACATAGGTCCACAAAAAAAATATTTAAAAGATACTGTTTCATACTCTATTTTCTTACGAAATCAAACAAAGAGCCCTATCTGAATGCAACTCAGTATTTTTCTAGCCCGCTCACTCACTGAGACTGTATCTGACCAAGACAAAATACCTGTTTTAATCCCTTTGACTTCAAACTTTATCCTGCAGTCCTTTCAGATCCGGAATTACGCGACATATCGTAGTTCAATGTTGAGAAGTACTCTAACAAAAGCCAACCTCAATTGATGAAGAAACTGGGACTCCAAGTAGGAAAACAACCTACACGGAACTTTACCACAATATTAACTCGAACTACAGTGCTTACATGTCCAACCTTCAGTTTTCCATAGGGGAGGGGAAAAGCAACTTACAGAATACAACCAACCGTACTCCCTTTCTTGTTTAATCTTAAGCCAAGGGACTGGCTTCACAGCACTCTAGGATTGTCCACAACGCAACTGCCTCTACAAACTTTAGATAGCTGGTTAATTGAGGGTTTTTTTAAAAAGTTAATTTAAGTGTCAGTGTTCCTATGTGAATTTTAGCGCCTAATATCAGTTTCCTTTTGCATCATCCATCCATACTGACTTGAGAAAAAAAAAGATGTTTTGACTTGATGATTGGCGCACAGCACAGCAGTAGCAAAAATGCTATGTTCAATAAGGCCAATCTTACCTTTTTCCTCTTAACTGGCGGAGGTGGTGGAACACGTTAATCACATCTCTTATTCTTCTAGGTGCTTCTTCGATTTTTGATGCAAGATTAATACAGGCCATGGCAACAATCTGAAAAGAACCCACGAGGGGATAAAAATTAAGGCGACTTAAGTAAAAAATAAAACTGGAGAAAAACATCCCCGTCCAGAGTCTAAGGAACTTATTCTGACCTAGAAACTTTATAAACCACAACTGGGGCCTGTGGGGAAATAAAATTGATAGGTTTATCAACTTCTATGGGTTTACCGTTCAACTGCTCACAATTTTTGGACCCGGAGTCACGCTAACTCACCACTCACCAAAGTGCAGCGGCCTGAAAATGTATTCTCGGGCTCAGAGCACGTGGGCTCTGGATCCATTTACTACTTTCAGAAACACATTCTAAAGGGCCCCATTTTCCAGGAGGATGAGCACTAGGTACAAAGGCCGGCGCTAACCACTCCCTTTCTGGAAAAGCTGGCTGTGGCTCACTGCCCTCTCCTTGCCGTTTCCGGATAGGGAAATCCCTGCCCGTCCGCCTCCGCGCTGCTTACCTCGAAACTGTGTTTGACGAAAGACTTTGAGTAGAAAAAACGGTGAAACAACACCTGCCCCGTTGCCATCGCCACCTGCAGACAAGAGAAGAAAACAGAAGCACTGGGGTCAGGCGGGCCCGCACCAGGCGCCGCCGCCATTTTGTGCGGCCCGCCGCCTCGTCCCTTCCCCCGCCCAGACCGCGCGGCGCCGCCGGCCTCTACCCACCCCCAGGCCGCCCGAGGCCCGGCCGGGGTCCGACCGACGCGGGTCCGCGAGGGGCCTGGCCGGGTGGGGCCGGGCCGCGGCGGGGAGGCCGAGCCTCTGGCCGGAGCACTCACCTGCGGCAGCCGGAGGAGGATGCCGGCGGCCTGGATGAGTTCGCAGCCCAGGATGCGCAAGTCCGTCTCGCTGGGCAGGTCGAGGCCGTCCTGCATGGACGGCGTGGGCGACAGCCGCTCCTCCGGAATGAGCGAGTGGTCGATGGTGAGCGACACCTCCGAGTACAGGCGGTCTCCGATCAGGATACCTCCCGTCGTGGTGGTCGTGGTGGTCGTAGTGCCCGAGCTGGAGCCGCCCGCACTCGGGGCTGCCGACGAGGCGGCGGCCGCCGCGGTGGAGGTCGGGTGAGGCCCGGACGCCATAGTTCTAGCGAGCGTTATACGCACGCCCGACGCAGCCGGAACCCAAAGTGAGACTAACCAGCGTCCTCGGCGCGACGGATATTCCAGTGACTGCCGGCTTCGGGGCCTCTGTACGCAGCGTGCGCTTCCGCCCTGACGTCACGACGCCAGCCGGCGCGCCAACGAGTTCCTCCGGGCTGCGCCCGCCGCGCTCGGCTGAGGAGGGGGCGGCGGAGGAAGAGCGGCGGTGACCTGATCCCGGCCGCCGGGTTCATACTACCCCGAGCCTCCGGATAATACGGAGCCTCACGGAAATCTCCGAGGCAGAGCCTCGGTTCCCGCACGATCGTCGTAATCCCTCTAAGTTCACGTTTGCGCGGGGCGGGCGGCGAAACTGGTGTCGAAAGTGACCCGAGCCGCCTGCACGGGGCAGCGTCGTCTTCAGAAAACCGGAAAGTGAGCACTGGAGCGATGCTCAGCGGTTAAGAGCAGTGGGAGCAGCGGACCCAGGTTCGGTTCCCAGCACCCATCTGGTGACTAACCGCACTTAACTCCAATTCCAGGGGATCCGACGACCTCCTCTGCTCTCCGGGTGCATTGCACGACCTGGGTGCACTTACATACATGCAGACAATACACTCATGAAACGTAAAAATTAAATAAATGATAAATTTTATAAAGGAAAAGTAGAGTGAAGCATCAGTTTTGGCCAACCCAAACTTGACCCAGATGTCGGTGGGTGGCCCCTAGCCACCTGTCACCCTGGCTTTCAGTAATCTGGAAAATCCCCGTTTCCCAAAATAGTCTTAAAGTGAGGATTTGGGGGAGGTGATTTCATTATGCCCCGGAGTGCTAATTCTGAGGTTACAGCAGCTAGGCAGAATGGGAGCAAGCAATGTCATGTTTTTTTACTGTAACTATAGGTACCAATTCCCAAACTATCCTGAAAAAAGAGTCTGAAAGAAAAGCCATGCTGTTCCAAACCACTAAAATCGGGAAAGAATATATATTTACTCTGTCATTTTTTATTTATTTTGTGTGTGGGGTCGAAGTCGGAGAACAACTTTGTGGAATCTGTTTTCTCACCATTGCATGGATGAAACGCAGGTCGCGCCAGGCTTGGAGGAAAGGGCCTTTACCCCAAGGGGTTTCGCAGGCTCCCTGCTTTGTTTTTTTCTATTTTTCGGTCTTTTTAAGACAGGGTCTCTCTGTAGCCCCAGCTGTCCTGGAACTCACTATGTAGACCAGGCTGGCCTTGAACTCAAAGAGATCTGCCTGCCTCTGCCTTCCGAGTGCTGGGATTAAAGGCGCGCGCCACGACACCCGGCAATTTTTTGTCTTTTTGAGACAGGGTCTCCCTGTAGCACCAGCTGTCCGGGATTTTAAGACAGGGTGTTATTAGCCCAGGCTGACCTCAAACTCAATATGTAGCTGAGGCAAATCTCAGGAGCCTTTAAGTCCTTCTGACACAAGTGTTACCAGCAGGGTTGATGTAGTTCACTTGGGAAGGGCCTTCCTGCTGGATCAGTTTGTGCTTTTTGTTTCTCTCGCGGTAGAGATACTCATCCAATAGTCTCATTCTTTTGACTAAGCATTTGACCTGTTTGGATGCAAGGTCCCCTTCCAGGTACCCTTCCCAGACACTCAGGGAAGAGAAAATCCCAGGAGAGATTTTAAAACATTTTAACAAACCTTTAAAGTAGCTTCAGTTTTTTAAATGATTAATTGATGATATGCCAATTTCCTGATTTTGTTATGGTTGTGTAAGGTTTCACTAGGTAAGGTTGAGTGAGTGGTATGTCAAGACGTGCGTGCTGCTGCTTTGTCAACTTAGAGTCATATTTTAAGATGAATAGTAAAAAACCAAAACTGATTGGCTGAGCTGAGCTGGCTTAGTGGGTTTAGGCCCTAGCCTGGTGACCTGAGTTCAATCTCCATGATCCACCTAGTGGAAGGAGAGAACCAACTCCCAAAATCCAGCCAGCAGCATGGGCAAGTGTCCTGGTCCGCGTACTGCCAGGAAGCTCCGTAGTCCCTGATGGGACCAGAAGTAGCATGATAAGCAGTACAAGATAACCCATTTGGGGACAGCCTTAAAGCCAGCCTGTTTGGAGGTGCTTCTCATGCCAAGGGAATGGTGCTGGAAAAGTAGGGGTTGAAGCTAAACAGCCCAATTCAGCTATGGGGCAGTGTGTCAGGGTCCAGCTCATCAAGAATGGCAAGAAGATCACAGCCTTTGTGCCCAGTGGTGGTTGACTGACTTCATTGAGGGAAACGATGACGTTCTGGTTGCTGGATTTGGTCGGAAAGGTCATGTAGTTGGTCATAGTCCTGGAGTCTGCTTTAAGGTTATAGTAGTCAGTGTGTCTCTTTGGGCCTGTACAAAGGCAAGAAGGAAAGACCAGGATCCTGAATGTTGATGATGGAAACACATTAGTAATATATTTTCATGTGCAAAAATAAAAATTGTCCTCTGATGTCCACATGCATGCTGTGGACATTTCACCCCCCCCATTAAAAAAATTAATTAGACACACACATACAATTAAAGTGCTGTTTTGTTTTATGACACAGGGTCTCCCAGTAGCCCCAGCTGGCCTGGAACTGGCTATGTAGACCAAGCTGGCCTTGATCTCACATAGATCTGCCTGCCTCTGCCTCCTGAGTGCTAGAATTAAAGGCATTTGCCACTAAGTCCAGTGACAATTCCTTTTTTTGGTCTTTTTGAGACAGGGTCTCCCTGTAGCCCCAGCTGTCCTGGAACTCACTATGTAGACCAGGTTGGCCTTGAACTCACATAGATCTGCCTGTCTCTGCCTCCTGAGTGCTGGAATGAAAGGCATGTGCTACCACACCCAGCTCCTTTTTGTGTGTATGTGGCATGCACATGGCACAGCTGGCATGTGGTAAGACGACAACATGCAAGAATCAGTTCTACCCTTCTACCACATGGGGCTTGGGGAGGGAACTCAGGTTGTCAGACTTGGTGGCAAGCACCTTTATCTGCCGAGCCATCTCACTGGCCTTTAAAACAATTTCTTAATGGAAATTGTGCATTTAGAGAGTCACCATGCCTCTTCAGTAAATTTTGTGATGCTTTGGTATATTTTATATTTTTACCTCAAAGTCCATGATTGTGATAACTTTTTGTCATTTCAACAAATCACTGAGAAAACTTAAAATGAGGATTTATTTTGGTTCAGTTTCAGAGGTTTCACTTTGAAGTCACATGACCCCATAGCTGGCGTCTGTGGCCAGGCAGAGCATTATGGTGTGAAGATGAGGTAAAGCAAACCTCCTTACCTCATTTCAGGACAACCACCAACAGAGGGAGGAAGGGGCATACACGGGGAGAGGGAGGCAGGGTAAGATACATTCTCAGGGACTTTATTCCTCCAGCCAGGTCCCCATGTCCTAATCCCTCCTTCAGCTCTGAACTCATTGGTGGATTAACTCATAAGGTTTGTGCCCCATGACTTAGTCACCTCTCAGTGCCACTAGCCAAGGACAAGGTCTTCAGCACATGAGCCATGGAAGGCATGTCATATTCAAACCACAACAAAGGATAAGCCAAAAAGGTCCTCAGAAATAGAGAAAAGCCCAGAGTGGAATTTCATTAAAAAAAAAAATCCATCACGACTAATCCAGATGGAAGGCAATGGGCCATATTCCACAAGGCCTAAAAAAGTATGACTGTCCTATTCTTTCTGGAGTCAAATTCATAGTTTGGGAAAACATCGTTTCTAAGTTATTGTGTCAAAACTTGTTTTTTTCCAAGTTAATGTCTACTTCTCAAACAGTAACATAAAAATGTGGGAGAACTAGCCAGGCGAGGTGGCACATGCCTTTAATCCCAACACTTGGGAGGCAGAGGCAGGTGGATCTTTGTGAGTTCGAGCCCAGTCTGGTCTACATAGTGAGTTCCAAGACAGCTGGGGCCACAGGGAGACCCTGTCTCAAAAAGACCAAAAAAGCGGCGGACTGGA